AGTTGAATCATAAAAAAAGACCCCCAAAATCTGGGGTCATCTTATAGGACAGATAAAAAAAAAAAAAAAAAATTAGATTGAAATTTATATAAATTAAAATCATTATAAAAAAACGGAAAAACCGTAATTATTTACTAGTAGAGAGTAGGGTATGTCCACAAAATAGAATAGCCCATACGACGTTTTTGTGAATAGTCAAAGTCATTACCCGAATGCCTGAATCAGTGGGAATGTTTGCAACAATAGCAAGGCAGTGCTGCCAGATGCAAGAAAATAAAATTTGTTCATTCGAAAAATTACAAATAGGACATAATTCCTTATACGCTGTAGAGTATTATGATCCAGATGATGATTGCTGATCTAAACTAAATTCATAGGTTGTTGATAGTTTGGGGTGCATCTTATAAGACAGATATATGCTAAAACTATAAAATTTTGACGAAAATTTATACCTTATCTTATCTGAAGGTCATCTTATATGCGCAGATATATGGTATGTATAAATACAGTATAAAAAATTTTTAAAAATATATATATTTGACTGTAGTATTTTTTGATATCCTTTTATTCATATATAACTCACTTAATTTGAATGTGACCGCAGGGTCGGTACTTCTTTGGCATCCTGTCAGGATGGACACCATCGTGTCGGTCAGACACAGATATCACAATGACTGTTACATCGGTTGGCACACAAGCAGTCATGTTTGTAGAAACTTTAGGGTTGGAATGGAGACAGAAGGAGATACCCGGAAGAAGTGCACTCCAAAAGGCTATCCATTTAACAAATGATTTTATTTATTTATGCCGTTTATTTAGAGAGGATATTTACAGAAGTTAAGACTGAGGAGCTAGCTTTCTTGCTAACACGAGTAAAAGTCAAGGAGGAAGCTTGTCATATCAGAGAGAGAGAGACAGAGCTTACAAAACCATTGCGTGATGACAAATATCTGGAGTTCAAGTAGATCCTTCCTCGGGGCCAAAGGGATTCAGGAGTTAGTCGAGTTCAGGTGCTTGTTCAAGTTTGGTTAATTCAAAGGTTGTTTAAGTTCAGGTATTAATTCAAAGGTTGATTTAGGAAGTGGTGATGGTAGAGAACTGTCACACACACACACAAAAGTTCACACTTGACGGGGAAAAAAGCTTCTGTCATTATTGTCCCCTCCTGTTTCATAAGGGGGTCTCTTCTGGGTTTTTCCCATTACTATACCCAGAGTTTTAGTACTTCAGGCCCAATGATCAAGTTTTACTCATTGCTTCCAAGTGACACATATGCGGTGTCACTTTTAAACAAGGAACTAAGTCTGTGGGAAACATCTTAATCGCTAGGTTGATCAATAATTGTTCAAAATAGAAAATTATTTCAATTCAAATGACAGAAATGTTATAATAATTTATAATGATTTTATACAAAATTTGTTTCACATGCAGTTCTCACATGAACTTTTCACTAATTTGAACAATGTGTAATTGGATTAATGAGAATGCACTGTATATTTTTAAATTTTAGATATTTATGTTGAAAAGTTTTGTAAAATTATCTTATTATTAAGAAAATTTTATTTGCATATGTGAATATTATGGACATAATGTAGTTGTTGTTGAATATTTGTTACAGATGAAATTTTGTTAGTCACTCAGACACTAAAAGTTACTCTATCAGAGCAGAAATTTTCTTTTCTGAGCAGGTTTAATATATACAGTAACATTGTTAATTTCAAATTTTATATGTGCATTATAAATAAAACAAATTGTGCACATGTGTGTGCACATTGAATATGTTCTTGAGAATTTAATTTTGTGACAAATTTAATGTTTAGCTTTCTTGTGAAATATATACAAAATTTTCATTAGATATCTTGAATTTTATTAAAAAAAAAGCAGCAATCAAATTTTTAGCTATCAGTTAAATTGGCCATATGTCAGGGAGTGGCTCTATCCAATGCCAGTTATGATAGATATCAGTTAGCCAGATCTTGTAATCCACTACACATGCTATCCTTCTGGCCACCAGCAAGGTTTCGGTCTGCATGCCGACCAGAAAGGCTTCTGGGTGTGCAAAGCCCAGTCTTCTTCCTAGGAAACTCTCTTTTATCAGACAAAGGGAGCTTTACGTGGTTTTCTCTACCATAGGCTTTGGGCAAGATCAACTGCATTTGTTTGCCTGCAATGCATTCAACCATCAACTTCATGCCATTGAGGAGAATGGGGGAGTTTGTGAAGCATGTCTCAGATCCCAGGGAATAAAGATTGTTGGGCCCAGCTTCTGTGCCGATGCAGGTCTTGAATCCAGAAGTTCTGATGTCCTCTGTGGCTAGTCAGGGACTTCACTTGCTGGAGTCTTTGACACAACAATCATCTTGCTACAGGCAGATGTGTTTACCATTACCAGTAGTGGGATTTGGGCCCATTCTACCTAGGCAGAAGGTCTCTAGCACATTTCAGTAGTTCCCCTATCAAGTGACAGCTGCATTTATGCCCACGAGTACCTTTGCATCCATCAGAGGGTTATCAGTTTGCACCAGACAAGTCCAAGCAACTGCACTCCACTTATCCTGTCTGAAGACAAGACCTCTGTGGAAATGCTGTTTGTAGCAATTACAAAAACCACTCTCAAGACTGCCAAATGCTTTGAGGACCCATTATAGGCCCCTGCAGCAATAATGCCATCAAAAATGGCTGCTGTGCTTCAGCCATGTCGGTCTCCTCTCTGTTTTGATGTGAGTCTGCATGCCACAATGCCAAACTGCCATTCTTATCGTCATCTGTCTGAACAGTGATAGGTTCCAGCTTGGGGAGAGGTTCAAAACCATGATGGGGACCATGGATAGGGACATGGCACTCAGACAGAAAGCTTCACTAAGGCCTGGTATACAGAGATAGGACCATGATATTCTGACACCTTTGGAACCTTAGGCCTGAGTCTTAAGACTCTATTAATGGCCAAGATGGGAGTTTTGGATCCTCTAATCCGCCTGCCTCTCACTGCTAGGCCCCACCACGCCAAGGCTAGTTCTGTAGTGACTCAAGCATACCAGGATATGCTGAGGTGTGAAAGGGGAATGTGATGAGGATTTTACAATTTCAGACAAAACAAAGCCAGGTTTATTAAAAGATATATATATATATATATGTATACAGCCTTGGACTACAGTTAGTCTCTTTAGTTAAATATACATATGCCTTGTCATGAACAATTAGTATGATTCCGTACAAAGAGAACAATTCTGATCTAAATGATATGTTGAAATCGCATATCAATAATTACAATTACATACAAGATGAAGCATAAACATGCTCTTGCATTTCTTCTTAGTTATTTTTGCATATGGGTATCCTATTCAATGCACATCAGTCCATAGATCGAACATAGTAACCCACATTCTACTAAGGTCTATAACTAAAAATAATAATCTTAATCAGGTCCTTATGAAGTTCCTGGACATGATCAACACATTCTATACAGTATCTGTATATCTTGTCTTCTTGGAGATGTATTCAGATTACTTAACAAGGAAAATTTTGCTTGTTGTCTTACTGCTACTTCCAAGGTCCTTCAGATTCCACTGTCCTTCTGGTGTCCAGTCATGAACTCAGGAGCCAGGAAAAAAAAGATCTGGAGCATGTGGAGATGTTGAATTTATACTTCCCCACATCCAGGCATTCCATTTTGGCACGTGAACACACTCCGAACCAATCAGCAGGTTCAGATTGGTTCAACAAAAAAACTAGTGGTACCAGGGAATGAAAGGAATACAACACAAATTAATATACAAAAAGTCAATCCCAAATACAAAATTAACAGAAACCGCTTACATTCTAGAATAACATAGAACTTATAGAAAAACGATACAAAACACATAGTAGTGTAACACTACAGTTCC